TGTGGTATTTCATTTTTAAAGTATTTTCAATCTATATTCAAAGACACTGTTATGGCTTTTCAAATATTGGTGCTCTTTAAGTCCAAATGAATTGGCAAATAAATCTGGAGAATCCTAGGTTTAAAATGGAGAGTAAATTTAAAGTATCATCTTTTTTGAGGTCAGGAGGTTCTTCTACATTTTCTACCATTTAGGGATCTTTTCTGTAAATTCCTTAGTGCTCTGTTTATGTTGTGATTGACTAATAGCTAATCCTGCAAAAAAAGGAAGGGTTTTCACTTTCTTTGACGAGACCAAATGGAGGCAGTTTCTTTTACACAAAAATGTGCAAAACTGTTCTGGTTTGGTTTTATTTTATGAAAAGCATATGAAAACTATGAAAACTATTGTACAAGTTAATAATAACTTTAGGTGGGTTCTGTTTTGTAGGGCAGAGTTCAAAAGAGTACCACTAGTATAAACAGCTCTCCCATTTTCTCTTTCCTTTGTAAAACTTAACTGAGTTTATGTCTAGGGTAAAGCACGGCCATTTCTTGGCAGAATGATTCTCTAGATTTTACTTGTTCTGGTATGTTTTCAGAAATATGCTTTTATTGTCTAATACAGAACTTGCTAGTTGGAGGAGCTTATCATCTGTCTCTTGTAACATGTAATTTTAATTCAGCATTCCAACTTCTGTAGTCCTCCTTGCTCACTCCATAAACCTTAAGTGCTTCTCCAGTAAAAGGCTGCCTTGGATGATCAAGGCAGGAGACAGTGCCTCTCTAGCTCCATGCCTTGTTCTCTCCAGCCTTCCTTCCTGCCCCAGCCCAACAGAGTAACCAAGAAATTCCTTTGGGAAAGGGTTAGATTGAATCCCTGCAGTCCCAGTTCTCTAGTATAAGAATGATAAATATACTAGGTGATATTTTTCTGATAGGCAAGTCTACTAGAATTCTTTTTCATAGCATCTCAAATAAAGAATAGCAACTGTTCAGCTGATGGCAGCAAACTTTGCTTAAGTTCCTGTTTTTAAAGATAGCATAAAAGTCTGCCAAGAAAGGTAATTGCCCATAAAAAAAAGATCATCCCTCTTGGGAGATTGTGGGAAGAAAGTGGGCTGGTTTGTTTTCTGATATTTTCCTTTAGCACTTGTGATTTGGAAGATTTGTGTATTCTAATACAGCAGAAATTAAGTCGTGAGAAACAAAGCTTGTAAGTGCCGTCTCTTAGTGAGAGACTTACAGTTTTTCAGTGATTCATATTGTAAGGAATGTTTTCCAAAAGCAAAGCCTCAGGGTTAAAACAAGCTCTTTTACCTCTTTCTACATATGCTCCAAATCTGCCCAACAAACTAGCTGCTTTGCAAGTATCTTCTTTTCTTTCCACAGAATGCCAAAAGCCCTGTGGGAAGTGCCATCTGTGGAATATAATTGATACAGATGCTCTTCTGAGAGTATTTTTGTTGTTATGTTTTAAGATAAAGGCAATAGAGTATTTATTAGAAAAATAAATACATATGCCTTTTGCAATGTGTTGTAGCTGAAAATTAAATATTTTTCTACTATTTGGCATATTTCCAGGAATCACCGAGCTTTCAGTAGTATTTTTGGTTAATATTCTGCAGCCTACTGTTGTATTCACCACAGCTGACATGAGCTGAGAGAGTTTGTCTTTATTTAACCTTAGAGAGGAATCCCAGGCTTGCTCTGTAGTCGGCAGAGCTGTTGGGGAGGATCTGCTCCAGACCGCAGCAGAGAGAGTGTGGGCAGGGTCCCGCTCTGAGTTGTGCTTGCTACAGCCTCAATCCATCGGTGATCCTGGAAATCCTGCAAAACAAAGCTCCTTAAAGTGAAGTGAGCCTTTATCAAGCTTGATTAGTATTTTATTTCATTATCCATCTTTTTTTCCTTCTTTATCTAATGTCTTAATGAATCCTGTTGTTAAAGTCCTGCATCCCACTGCTTCTTGTGATGTTCGGAAGTTGAGGACACTGATTAGGACATTCATTTTCTTCCTGAAAAATAAATGTATCTATGTAGAGGGGACGAAAAAACATTAAAAGCCCTGATGAGAATACACATTCTGCATCACCTTTACTCTTCTGAAAATTCAAATTGCATGGGGTGGGATGGGGGGAGGAAGACGCTTTAGCTGAAAGTCGGAGCTTTTGAAGGCATTGATTATGATTCTTTGCCTCATTATACATTTTTCACACTGATGTAGATTCACAGGACTTCTTTGCCTCTTTCTTGTCAACTGGTAGCAAGTAAGGAGAATGTAAATGGCCTGTAGCGTTAGGGCTCTTAAAAGTCAGTAGCAAACCGTTCAGTTTGATTGGTGCTTTTGTAGTTACTTGCTTAGAATAACACTAATAATGCTTGTTGATGAGGCTGCCTGTTATCCAGCTAACTATTAGCTATTACTGTTTTAAGATAGTAATTAGCCCAAAAGTCAGCATTTGCTATGTGAGCAGTTATTAATAGTATTGACAATAACGTTGCTGTTAAGCAATATTTATGCCAGGAAGTAAATGCTAGTCTTTATTTGTCAGTAAACACTGGCAATTAAATGACATGAAAGATTGTGTTAGTTTTCTAAGGATTCAAGTCTCTAGAACTACCTTAATGTTTATTTTCTCTCACCATAAGGACTGAAGTAAGGTTGAACTTGATGAAGGAGATATTCAGTGTTACATTTATTATTAGAGCATGTGCAAATTTGTGAAAATGTGTGTCTTAGCAAACTAAGCCTGATTTCAGTTGTAGGTTTTAGTACATGATACTAAATGTACAACTGTACATATTGGAAAGAAATTTCCATTGTTAGAAAAAGTCTGGAGGCCTCCCGTGATGAGAAGCGCTCTGAAAAATGAAGGAATGGGATGCTGGTCAGAGATAGGAAGTCAAATCAGCCAGAATCACCGTGCATATCTGTAGGGGTTGATTTGTAGCCAATATCTGCAAAAGAAACTGCAGGGTTCAGTTTGCAAACACTATCGTGAACCAAACCCTGCAGGGTTTGCTGAGCTCCGGTTACTATTATTACTTCTAGGAAGGCTTATTATCCTGTCACACAAGACATAAAAAAATCCATCTCTCCACTTTAAACATGATAAGCCTTTGTCACCTACAATGCAATTAATGTTAAAAATAGAAGAGTGCCCATGATAAGATTGTGACTTGCGGGCAATGAGCCATTGTCCAAGTACCAGAGACTTATCTGGAGGGCCAGTCAGCCTACATGGCTGGCTGTCAGCCTGCTGATTGCCGTTTCTCTCTGAGTTTGATGAAATATTCATGCCTCTGGTCTGCTCTTTGCAAGCATTATTGATTTCTTGTATAAATGCAGCTATATTTAGTCTAGACAAATGGAATGTGGATTGCTGCTGAATAAATGGGATGAAAGGCTGGGGTTTTGCCTGTCCGTTTCCCTTGGTCTGTGGCAATTATTTATAATCAAGAGTAGTTTTTGTAAGTTAAAGGTGATTTTTTATAATTTACTGATTAATCTCAGAACAAAAGTAAGCACTTATACACAATCACTCTGTTGGGATAGTGGATTAAGAAGGCAAATTATGCTCAGAGGTTTACAATCACAGTTACTAGGATTTTATTTTATTTTTTTTAAAATCTCAGAAAATTGTATGTTTCCATAATTTTGAGAAGAAAAGATTATGATCAGTAGAAGATATCTGGTGCCTTGTCTCTTTTTTTTATAAAACTTCTTATTAATAGATTTGAATATACAGTTAGAATTCAGTTCTCTCCATTTGCTGCAGTTTCAACTTCTGATGCTTCGATTCTACTGCTCCTGCTTGCTAGTATATTCGTTTCATTCTGGTTTTGTCCTTGGAAAAAAACACAGCTGTAGCAGAGCAAAAGGCGAAAATGTGCTTAAAGTTTTGTTCCTTGGGCATTTCTGACAACATGTTTGTTTTCAGTTAATAATCTTGCATTCTAATGAAGATAGTAGAGCAGTAGGAGCAGAAGTGAATGTGTTTGTGTTTCACTGTCCTCTCGTGGATGGAATCAGAATTGCTGAGGTTTAGTAGAGACTTTCAGCTGCTATTTATTTTCCTCTTGTAGAAATTTTACTTGCTAGCTTTTCGTTCTTTCGAAACAGAGGAAGTTACACCCTGTCTCTTCACTGAATGTGGAAACCTAATCTTTACAAGTATTGTAGTGAAAATCATCAAATCTGTCATTTTTGCTTTTTAATCCCTTTGATTTAATTGAGGAGATTGAAAAGCACAGGATTCTTCATTAAGTACTTTAATGCGGATTTAACAGTATATACCATTGCTGCAACAAATTGGAATAATTCAAGATGTTTTCATTTTCTTACAAGCCATATATAGCGTATTATGTCTAGTCCACTTCAAGCATGGTGGTCAGCTTTCAAGGAGCCATATTAAAACTTCTTGGTTTATGTGTCAAGTTATTTTCCTGTAATTTTTTTATATGTGTGTTAGTCCCATGTGTTTGCCAGGCATATTTAGATGCAGTAACTATGTAGCATTGTATAGCTGTTCATTTCTTACAGATGAACAGCTATACAATGCTCAGAAAATCGACATGGTAATTTTGAAAAATCTCTTGCAGTGTAGTGAGAGCTGGAGAGCCTCCATCTTCCACTGAAGAAGCACCCTGAGTGTTTATTGTGAAGCCTTAATAGTGCCTAGGAGATTCTCACTAAATATTGCCCCATTAGGCTGTGAGGTGGTTTTAGAACTGGATTGCTTGTTAGTCTGTTTAGCAGGATATTAATCTGGGAGTATTTTTACATAGAATAGAAAGAATGTGATAAAATAATTTGTAAAATCTCCAGCTGCTAGTAGGAATGTCTGAAGTTTGCGTACAGTGTCGATTGCATTAGTGTTTGTTAGGTCTATACACCGAAGCAGCCTTTGAGTGAAATCGG